AATAATCATGTCGGTCAGTGATATTAATGAAACAGTTGAAATTGATGAAACTTGAAGAGAAAATCCATTCAAAAGCGAACGACTTATACATCATTAACAACTAAACTTCTTAATAAAATAGAAGCATGTTTTAAAGACGAAAACTTAGATGATGAGAATAAAACTTGATGTGATCAATTAATTGAAAAGGAAAATGATCTTCTAAAACTTAACGTAGAGATAGAGGCATTTATTTCTGTTGACGGAATTGAAAGGGAAATAATTTCGGTTGATGAATATTCGGAGAAAATTCTAAAATGGAAAGATAAACGTTAAGAACTCAGATGGTGATTTGAATGCTAATTTAAGGAAACTTTTGGAAATAGATGATTTGTTTATTGGGAAAGATGATAATAGCATTTTAACTAGTGATATGGAAATTTTGCGACCCTTTTTGAAAGTGAAATAAAATTTGAAAATTGAAAATATGAGATTAGGTTGCCTTGCAAAGAAAACCTTTATCTTTCTGATTATATGTTTAATGTTAAAAGGAGGCTTTGGAGTTTGACAAAGATGAGGCTCTCTTTTAGAATTTAAATAAAGTGTTTAGAGAACAGTTAAAATGAACCTATTACTATTGAGAAAGGGGTTTCGTCAGACCGTATGTGTTACATGCCTCATCACCCAGTTATCAGAAGGGATAAAGAAGAATTGCGTACTAAACGACGCATTGTATTCGATGCATCTTCTAAAGAAAATTTTTTTTATTCTTTGAATGATAATTTGGAGGCAGGTCCAAATCTTAACCCTAATTTGTTAAATCTTCTTTTGCGGTTTCCACAGAACTTTATTTGGATTATAGCCATTTTTATTAGCCGCTACGGTTAAGCGCCATATTAAGAAATTTAAAGGGTCACACGAGTTAGCATACGCTGCTTTAAGCGATTGCCTTTATGTTGATGACTTAATTACAGGTGTGAATAATGTGGAAGACCCTATTGAACTGTTTAAAGACACAAAGAACGTTGTTATACCCGCTAACATTAGCTTACGTGCTTTTAAAACTAACATCGTAATATTGGTAAGAAACGAAATTCGAAGAACTTTCCAGAAATAGTTTGATTCCTATAAAGGTACTAGGTGTCATATCGGACACAGTGAAAGATGAACTAAAACTGGATTTATCTTCCATATACTGCTCTCTCTGAAGCCCTATTTGCGTGCGATTTTGCAGCTATCATGTATGAATTTTGACCCTATCGCGCTTATAGCTGCATTCACGATTCCAGCAAAGATATTGTGGCAACTTACCGGGCAAAGAGGACTTGGATGCGATGATGAGTGACCTAATGATTTAAGAAGAAAATGGACATTTGATGTTGCGAAACTGAAGGACATTATTATACCTCGTTGGTATTTTCCGAGGTCTAGTCGAGAAAACATCGAATTTCAGATACATATTTTCTGCGATGCCAGGGAATTAGCTTTCGGTACTATAGCTTACCTCAGATACATCAATAAGTCAAAACAGCATGAAGTTAGTTTTGTCCTTGCAAAGGCTAGAGTTGCACCTGTTAAGAGAATTACGTTACCCAGATTAAAGCTTTTATCCACTGTCCTTGGTGCAAGAGTGCTAGACTCACTGCGAAGTGTTTTCCACATAACGAACAATTATTATTTATTGAGTGATTCCGCGGTGACTTTACATTGGATCAAGAAGTGTGCTAACAATTGGAAATCCTTTGAAGGGAACAGAGTAATGGAAGTTCGAACGAAAATTGGAGACATTGCTGTGGTATCAATAATCCTGCTGATTTGCTGACACGTGGGTGGAATGCAAGAGAATTGAAAGAAAGAGATAAATGGTGGCATGGACCACCTTGGATAAGACTTGAAGAGTCAGAATGGAATAATGGTAAAAGTTTTAGCTCTTTGAATAGCGAAAACTTAGACAATGAAATTCTTATTAAGAAACGAATCAAGTCCATGAACATCAATATGAATGTTTGCGAAGAAGAAAGCCAGTCTGATATTATGAACGTCATAAGTTAAATTTCATCATGGAATAACTTGCAAAGAGTATTTACCTGCTGTTACCTGGTGTGATTTATTCTAAATTTCATTCTTTGGAACCTTTACAGCCAGATCTACGTTCCACTTTCAACGAGGTCTTTGCAGAGTGCAAAAAAATGTTTATGGACCTCTGGAGGGTTCCTCCTCCGCATAGTTGGTATTTCAGAAAACGACCTGGAAGTGCCTTGCTTTTTGAGGGACCTAGAAGCCAGCAGACTTGTTTATCTCGCTTTACAAGTGGTCACTTGAGGTGTCTCTCGTATGCTCAGGGGCAAAAGACTTTTGGACTTTGCACTAAATGTAGGACTGTTCAGGCTTCTCCCGAGCATATTCTAAACTGTATCGATTTTAAGATCTACGAGGTTTTTTCAAAACCTTATCTGTTTTTAGACTTCCTGGACATTTTTGGATTTATGGAATTGGTCTAATTGGGATGGACCTCTTGGGGATTAGAAACAACAATTCTAAATTTCAAGTTCCCAGCTACAAAGGTTTTTAGTTGTTTAACTACTACAGAGATTCAAAATAATAGAAATTATCTTTTGAAGATAGTTCAAGAGTATGCTTTTGGTACTGAAATAGAATATCTGTAGAAAGGAAAGACACTCCCAAAAAATAGCAATATGTTGCCTTTGGCACCCTTTCTTGACTCATCGGGACTGCTCCGAGTTGGTGGAAGGTTGAAGAATTCCAATCTTTCTGACCGGCGAAAACATTCAATCCTTCTCTGAAAAGGCCATCGTTTATCAACGATAATAGTGACATATTTTCATGAAAGTGACTATTAATGACATATTTTCTACTCAAAAGACATTATCAGCATTAATACAAGAGTATTGGATAATTGGTGTCAAGAATCTTGTTAAAAAAGACTATCTCCAGTTGTGTAAAATGTCATCTACAAAATTCTAGATTTTTGACACAATTTATATCTGATTTATCGCCAGTAGGAGTCACACCTTCCTGAGTTTTCTCCACTGTTGGCACTGAGTATGCCGGACCTATCCAAATGAAATCCAGAAAAGGAAGAGGTGTAAAGACTATGAAATGCTAGGTTTGTTTATTTGTGCGTCTATCCACAATAGCAGTTCACTTAGAACTCGTAAATCATCTGACTTGTGATGCCTTCCTTGCCTCTGTAAGAAGATTTATATCTTGACGTGAAAAACCTGATCAGATGCACAGTGACTGTGGGACAAACTATGTTGGTGCATATAGAGAGTTAAAACCCCTGATTGCATCACTCTCTTCAGATGAAAGTTTTCAAGGCTATTTTGCAAATAATAATATCATTTGGAATATTCAATCCACCTGCGGCACCTCATCATGGAGGAATGTGAAAATGCACTGTTAAATCTATAAAGTCACATCTTAAAAAAACTGTCGGCGAACAGATCCTCACGTACGAAGAATTACTAACCCTGATTGCAAAAGTAGAAGCTTGCTTAAATTATCAGCTACTTACCCCTCTCTCGGATGATCCTGCTGACTATGAGCCTGGTCATTTCCTCATTGGTACTTCATTGACAGAAGTACCAAATTCTGATCTTTCAAAGGAAGTTATTACACATTTGAAACGATGGAAATTAATGCAAAGAATGATCCAAGAATTCTGGAAACGGTTGTCAACTGACTATCTTTCCTCTCTTCAAAGACGACCCAAATGGCTCAAAGTAAAGAAAAATCTTGCTGTAAATGAACTGGTACTAATCAAAGAAGATGATTTACCACCATTGAAGTGGAAGTTAGGACGTGTGCTTGAGATTTTTCCTGAATCAGACGGTAAAATCAGTGTGATAAGGTTAAAAACTGCAAATTGTGAGTTAATGCGTCCTATTCTTAAACATTGCACACTAACAACAGACTACAAACTTTGAACTCATACTAACTTTGAACTCTAAATTTCAATTTTCAGTCAAATTTAATATTTATTTTAAATCAAACATTTTATGATGATTGCTGTCAGTCCTTGTGTGCATTTTATTTGCTTAATTTTGTTTAATGTTAGTTTACAATTCACATATATTTCATTTAAAGTTGTTTTAATTTTTGTGTAAAGATTCTTAAACTTAAAACTTTCTGTAATTGAGTTATTGCTGCTTTACCTTTGAAATTAAAGTTTGAATGAATGTAATAACATTTTATGAATCCCCTAAGGTTTCATGGCGGGGGAGGAGGTTTCTGTTTAAAGTATTTTTTAAAATGAAATACATGGCAGCACAAAGTCACGTGATTAGTAAATATTTATTTTTTATTTTATGTATTACGTAGTTTAGTTCTCTACGTGATTTTCTCAATAAAGTTGTGTAATTAAAGCCACCATGGTAATTTCAAAGTGATTATTTCCTTGAAAAGAATAATTTTTACAACTGATTTCTCTAAAATATCGTTAAATGTTTGTATTAAAGAGACTATACATGAACAGTAAAGTGCGGAAAGTAAATTATTAATGTAGTTTTACAGTTTTAAATGTTTACTATTTAATTCTTAATTTGATCGCTTATGTTAATTGACTACTTCTTTGCATAAATTTTATTATAATATTAAACATAGCTCTTTTGCTTTTTTTATTAATTTTAAACGTATTTGTCATGAAATGTTGTATAATCAGGTAAATTCACAGCAATACTTTATAATAAATAAAGTTCATTTTTAATTTCAAATACTTTCATTTTGAATGATCATTAAAATTAAAAACGTATTAATAGCAGAGAATAATATTATGGACGGAATATTATAGATAAATGGTAAATCCCATTGAGCAGGGGATAAAGAAAAACCTATACAGGATGTCTTTATAACTCTCGGTAATTTTATGTTAATCAAAATCAAAGATATCCGGATCTTTGAAATTAATTTAACCCTTTATTAAGATTATATGCAATTTTGACTATATTCTAGTTCGATTTTTTTTTCTGACAGTGTAAAAGAAGATACGAAACAACATGGAGTTTTTTAAAACACTAATTTAATTCAACCAACTTTGGAATAATTTTACATTTATAGGATTCTAAGTCATCCAAATCAAATAGAAACAATGTATAATAATTAGCCAGTTCTGCGTTGGCATGTCTTGGTAGCCGAACTGCAAACCAGACCTGGTCCACAATGGGGATAGCTAAAATTTTCGTAGATTATTCCGTTTCCATTGTCATATTCATTTTGAGGCGCTCTAACTTGGCAACTGTCTCCTAGTTCTAAAAAAAGCATAAATGTAATTGGTAAAAATATTATCTGGACAAAAATTATAAGAAAAATATGACATTTCTTATGTTCCTCTTTCCGTACATTCGTTTTGAGGCGGTGTTACATCGCAACGTTGATCTAGACCAGAATGGAAAACGAAAGAAAGTCATGAAGGTAATTGATAAAAGCATTATCTGGACCAAAAAATTAGCAAAATCTTGCTATATTTTTATATTTTTTAAAACAAAATATTTCTTCAATATTAAAAACATAATACAATTTGAAGGATAATATATACAGGGGATGCACAAAATAATAAAGCGATTTTATACTAATACCTTTTTTCGTATTTCTCAAAAAATAATTAATGATTTATTTTACAATTTCAGAATTTTTTGAATCATGTGATTTCTCATACATGTCCATGAAGTTTAAAACTTTTAGATGTTTAAGTGACCAATAGTGTTTTCAAATACCCTAAAATATGTAGCAAAAACATTTTTTTTTGCTATAACTGCAAAACTTTTTAAGAAAACTTAAAAAAAATTAGACCATATTAAAATTAATTAAGAATTCTTTTTTCTTATCTGAAATTTGAAAAAAAAATCGTTAAAAAGTGGTATGTAAACTAGTACTTTTATTCTGCGTAAAAAGTATAACAATATTTTTTCATAATCTCTAGTGAATCATATTAAAAATGAAAAAGAAATCCGATTTGAATATCATGAAAATTTAAAAAATTTTAAAAGTAGTTTTTTTTTTTTTTTAAATAGCTCAAAATGATAGTAGAACAGTACAGAAAACTTAAAATGATAAATGCATTTTTAAAAAAAGAGTGAAAAAAATATCCCCTGCCATAGCAACCACGATATTGCGGTACTATATTTTCCATTTTACCTTTTGTAACATCCTAGTTTTTGTGAAGAATAATATTTTTGTGGAATTTTCATATTTAATATGTGTTAGATGATGAAATCATGTATCTATGGCATCAACTATGCCTACCTCCATCTATCAAAAGGTACCTCTATATAAAATCAAGCTAATATGTTTTATGCACTTTTTATTAATCTTCTTAATTGGTATTTAATAATCTTAGTGGTCGTTACACCACATTACTTCCCCTTCAGAATTTTATGTGTTATAGAATTCGATGAACGATCACCACTAGCTGATTAATGCTGTTAATTTTTTTCGCTTATTATGTATATCGTTATATTTTATTTTGTTTCTATTTCTTTTTTTCTCTTTCTTTCCTCTGACTTTCTCTCTTTTTTGTTGTTATAGGCCACGAGAATTGTATTTCACTTAACCGGTATTTTGAGCACTATTTTGAGCAATTCAACTGCTCAATGCGGACAATCCATCGATGGAGACGAGTTCATACCACGTCCGAGTCACCAATGTGAGAAGCGTAATATCGACTATGTCAGCCTTCATTTATCAAAAGGAACTAGGAATTAGAATCAAGTTAACATTTCTTATAATTATTTTTGGTAGTAACGCAACTTAACTATTTCAATTATGTAAGAATTAGTTTAATAATCTCTTTCCAGAAGCAAATAAATTTACCTAGAACTTCTTCACAAGTAGGACCGCAACTACATATATATATATATATATATATATATATTTAACTTAGTAAATATTTTAATATTTTTAGACATGATATAG